CGCGAGCTTTGCATCTAAATGTGACGAGCATCCCACGAGAGCGTGCAAGCCTTGGCTGTGGTCCCCCTGCGTGAGTCCCCTGACCGCTCTCTCCTTCCCTCACCTTCCCTCACTGGCACTCAAGCCTCATAAGTGGTCCAGACTGTAACCATTTGGGAAGAGAACCAGTGGATGGAAGATCTCAGTCTCTCCCTCTTTCTCTTTAACTCTGTCTCTCAAATAAATAAGTAAATCCTTGCCTTACATAGTCCAGGATCCCATATAGACGCTGGTTCTAATCCCTGCAGCCCCGCTTCCCGTCTGGCTCCCTGCTTGTGGCCTGGGAGGTCGGTCCAAAGCCTTGGGATCCTGCAACCACGTGGGAGACCCAGAGGAAGCTCCTGACTCCTGGCTTCTGATCGGCTCAGCTCCAGCCACTGAGGTCACTTGGGGAGTGAATCAGTGGAGCGAAGATCTTCCTTTCTGTCTCTCCCCTCTGCATATCTTCCTTTCCAAGAAAAAATAAATCTTTACAAATAAATAAATACTTTTTACCAAAACAAACAAACAAAAAGTTGGGCAGGCCAATGGCAGGTTCTGACAACCATAAGGTGGCAGAGGACACCAGGGCACCTCCTGCAGCTGAGGGCCTCACGGGGCTTGCAGCCGCTCGGGAGCTGGCCTGGCGTTTCACAGCTCAGAACCTGGGCCTTCTCACCAGCCTTGCACACACACACGCCACACTCCCTGCTCTTTCCCCATGCCCCAGACCAGCTGACCCTGGCAGTTGGGATGGCCCCTCCACCCTGCGGCACAGCTTGTTTTGTGTCACGCACCTTGGTTTTGTGGTTCCTTCCATTCCATTCCTCTCCTGCAGAGGCACCGCCCCCTCACCCCCAGCTGGCTCCCTTCTGCACCCTCTTCACCCCGACCCGTGCAGCACACTCATTCCAGAAGAAGGACATTCCAGTGGTTTTCCCTGAGACCAAAAGGAAAAGGAGGTCTTGTGTCTTTTATTATTTTTTTTTCAAAGATGGTCATATCATGCTGCTTTTGGTGTTTTTGTTTGGTTTTGTAGAGACAGGGGTACATATGGGCACCAGTCTGTGTCCAGCTGCTCCATTTCTGTTCCAGCTCCCTGCTGATGGCCTAAGAAGACAGTGGAGAACGGCCCAAAGCCTTGGGACCCTGCACTCGTGTGGAAGACACAGAAGAAGTCCCGGCTTCAGATTGGCTGAGCTCTGGCCATTGCAGCCACTTGGAAAGTGGATCAGCAGATAGAAAATCTCAATCTCTCCTTAATGCTCTTTAAATCTGCCTTTCAAATAAAACAAACCTTTTTAAAAAAGATAGAGAGCGAGAGATGGGCTGGGCAGTGAGAAACAAACGCACATTTTTCCTTCTGCTGATTCATTCCTCAAATGCTCGCACAGGCCAAGCTGGGCCAGGTCAAAGTCAGGAGACACACGGTGGCAATGCTTCTGCCTCCGGAATGTGCAGCAACAGGACGCTGGGCCTGGCGACGCGGCTGGGGACTTGTCTGCAGGTCCTCCCTTGACACCGGCCTCCTAAGTGATTTCCTGACCTCCACACCAACTACCTGCCCCTGTGCAGCTGTTTCTGTTTCTGTTTTGTTTTTAAGATTTGCTTATCTAATTAAAAGAGAGAGCTCTCATCTATCGGCTGGTTCACTCTAGAAACGGTTGCAACAGCCAGAACTGAGCCAGGCTGAAACCAGGCGCTAAGGACTTCATCCAGGTTGCCCACATGAGTGGCAGGGGCCCACAGACTGGGGCTGTCTTCTGCTGCTTCCCCAGACAGATTTGGAGGAAGCTGGGTTGGACGTAGAGTAGCTGACCCTCCGAGCGTCATGCTGATATGGGATGCTGGTGTCCCAAATGGTGGCTTATCTCACTCTGCCACAACACTAGCTCCTTTTGCCTTTCTATAGGCAAACCCTAATTAAATCCCTAATTATTTCCTATTCAATTTTGGAAAATTCCCTGAGGGGGCAAGCATGTGGCTTAACTGGTTGGATGCCCACATTTCATGCTGGAAAGTGCCCTGGCACTGCTCTGTATTCTACCTGTGTGGGTAGCACAGAAGGGCTCCTGGAAGACAGCAGGTGGTAACTCTTGCAGCCACAGGGGACTCAAGGATGTAGCTGCCAGCTCCCGGCTACAGCCCAGCCTGGTCCTAGCCATTGGGGACATGGGAGAGTAAGGCAACAGGCGGCTCACTCCCTGCCTTTCAAACAAATAAAAAATAAGTGTTAAAAGAGCGTTAAAAGGGAGCCTGGAGGTTAAGATCTTTGTGACATCTCGTGAATGCTGGAGTCACTCCTAGCAGGTCTAGAAACTCCTTTTGGGGGTCAGCCCCAGAGGCAGTGCACAAAGCTTTCTGTGAGCTGGCAGGAGACTGGCAGCAGTGCCCCCAAGCTATGCCCAGGCCTTCCTGTCCAGTGTGGGAAGCACGAGGCAGGCAGCTCCTCCAGCACCTTCATATCCCCCCTCAGCCATTCCAGCTCCTGCTCACTGTGGGGACCGGGCTTTCTCTCGCCTCCCTACTCTGCTCAGCCTGAGGCTGTGAAGGCCTGCGCTCAAGGGGTCCCAACAAGCAGGTGGACATGGAGCCCACTGATGGCCGAATGGGACTGGAAGGGACTGGCTTCTCCTCACTTCCATTGTCCTCTTCCCAACCCTAACAGCAAGAGGGGTGGCGGTCACAAGTCACAGATCCGGGCACCTGCCTCGGAACATGCTGCTTGGGACGCGACGATGTAACACAGCGAAGGGCGAAGCACCGGCCGGCCGGCCAGGGCACCAGGGGGCGCTCCTGAGGCCCCCGGCTGGACCGCTGACAGGACTTCCACTGCACAACTCTGTGGCCCAGCGCGCCTGTGAGAGCAAACACTGAAGTACACCCTTCTCTCCCAGAGCTGTCAGAAGGCTGGAGGAAAACGGGTTCAACAGCGCATCTGAACAGCATCAGGGGTGTCGCAGCGGGTCGCTCGTTATTCCAGGTCTCAACCACTGGAACCTCAAACCCTATCAGAGAGTGTCCTGGCCCTGCCAAGCTCATTCCTGAGTCCAGCCTGGCTTTGCCCAGCAGTTCCACGCCTGCCCAGGCAGCAAGGCATTCAAGGTGAGTCCACCAGCAGATGGGGAAGCTGATGCATAACTAAGGAAGTGAGGACAATTCTGGGAGGGTCACCAGACTAGGCAGGAGGTGATAAGGGGACAGCCGCCAGCAACAGGCTTGTGCAAGAGTGTTGTCAACAAGCAAGAACAGAAGGCCATGTTAACAGTGAAGTGGACTAAACTGCCGCTGGAGATGCTGGCAACCCATCACCAGCAGCCAGTTCATGTCCTAGCAGCTCCCTGCTAATGCCCTGGGGCAGGCAGCAGAGGGCTTGAACAGTTCCTGGTTCCTGCCTTTTGTAACTAATTGAGGAATGAATCAGTGGATGGTATTGCATTCCAAACATATCTTAAATACGAATAAATAGGGCAATGGCTCACTAGCTAATCCTCCACCTGCAAGTGCCAACATTGCATATGGGTGTGTTTTGTGCCCTGGCTGCTCTACTTCCCATCCAGCTCCCTGCTTGTGGTCTGGGAAAGCAGTCAAGGACGGCCCAAAGCCTCGGTACCCTGCACCCACATGGGAGACCTGGAGGAAGCTCCTGGCTTCAGATTGGCTCAGCTTCCGGCCATTGCAGCCATCTGGGGAGTGAACCAGTGTATGGAAGATCTTTTTGTCTCTCCTCTCTGTAAATCTACCTCTCAAACAAAAATAAATCAATCTTTAAAAATAAACAAGCTCTGGCCATTGCAGCCACTTGGGATGGAAAATCTTGCTCTGGTCTCTCCTCCTCTCTGTGTATCTGCCTTTCCAATTAAAACAAACAAATCTTAAAAAAAAAAAAAAAAAAAAACTAAAGGAGCAAGCTTGGGACAGGTGACATGGTGTAGGGGTTGGCCACATTCAGGATGCCTGTGTGCCTGTTCCAGTCCTGGCACCTTCATTTGTACCAGGCTAGATGATGGCTCAATTACGTGAGTCCCTGCACCCACATGGGAAACCCGGAAGAAGCTTCTGGCTCCTGCCTGCCGCAGCTCCTGCCTTGGAGTTATTTGGGGAGTGAACCAAAAGATGGAAGAGCTTTCTCATAATTATTTTAAATAAATAAATATTTTTTAAAAAATGAGCAAGTAGGTGCCAAGACCCACATCTGGGAGAGCAGCTCACTGGCTCCAAACACCCAGGACGTGCGCACGCGTGTACACACACACACACACACACACACACACACACGCAGCAGCTGCGACACCTTCCCCCCTCCACCCCAGAGCCAAGGAGGAAACCAAGTCCGCAGGTAAAAATTATACTTTTATTTGAGTCACTGGGAGATTCATTTGTGGTTCAAGTCAAATGTTCAGAATCCCAGCAGGCCAGAGAGATTTGATCCCACGCACAGCCCACGGGTTGGGGGAGGGGACCAAAACAGACGGCAAGAGACAAGGACCCCGTGGAAAAGATGAGCAGGTGGCTTCACACATACACGCATGTGATGCAGAATGGGGCGGGCGCTGCACGGCTGCCGCTTCCGCTGCCTTTCAAATACAGGCTTGTGGGGTGCTGCTCTTATTTTTTTATATTTCCCCAACTATTAAAAAAAAAAGCCCCAAAGTGCATTGTGAGGGGCAATGGAGGCAGAAATGTGGTGAGAGCTGTCCTTGGGGCGCCCAACGGGGGGGGGGGGGGACACGGGGAGGAGCAGGGAGGGTTCACATTTCTCGGGGGGCTGTTGGTATCTTCTTATTGGTCCACAAAAGTCACATTCACATTCTTGCTTTTGGACACATCACTTTTTCTCTGTGATGAATGGGCTGAGACAACTGCCTCAAAGGCTCCACCAGGGACCCAGCCCAGCCCGGGGAGACGAAGGCTCCACCAGGGGCCCAGCCCAGCCCGGGGAGACGAAGGCTCTGTGCTCTCCAGGGTGGGCTCAGTTCCGGGAAGGGACAGGCTCCCGACAGCCCCCCAAGGCTCCTCAGCACCACAGCGGCAGCCCCTGCTCTCTGTGGGGGATGGATAGGGCAATGCCCCTAGTCCAGGAGAGGCGGGGTCGGTAGCAAGATGCCTGCAAACACGAGGCTGGCCACGGGTGTCCTCCCCACCCACGGGTGCCCTGCAGGATGTGCTCTTGACCTTTGATCCCCAAATCCATTGTGCTTTGAGATCAAGAGGAAATGGAATGGATCGCGCCTGCCCGGGCTTGTCCTTTACCAAGAGCCTGCCAAGAGCCCAAAGCGACACCCAGCAGCCTATCGCCCAGAACCGCTTCCTCAAGCTCTGTCTGGGACAGACTCCTGAGCTATAGGGCGCCACGGCCCAGGGGCACAGGACGTCAACCAGGGTTGGGGGGCTGCTGAGACGCAAGGGGACGATGGAAGGGTGACAAGAAAGCCCGGACAGAAGTCAAACCGGCGCCCATGAGCCGAGCCGGGAGGGGACTGGGATATAGCACCATCTTTCCCTTCTCACCTCGGAGACCCGGCTTCCAGTTTTATAGCCCTGGAATCCTGTCCCTGCTTCCAGAGGGCCTCTGGGCACGTGATGGGAACCCACCGTGCAGATGCCACAGAGATGGTCGGGGGAAGGGGGGAGAACACGCCGGGAGCAAGCTCAAGGCAGCTCTGTCAGCCGCCCTCACTTCCCGCAGAGGGGCCGGGACAGCTTTCTCCACTTGGAGATGAAAGGAAAGGGAGAAGTTTCTACTCCAGAACAACATCATCAACTTCTCTCCCCTCCCAGTGGGCTCAGCGTGCAGGCTTTGGGGGCTCCAGCCCCACTCAGGAGCCTACACTTGTGGATACGTCCCAAGATCTTACTTCCACTCTCCCACCCCTGGCACATACCCCCTGCCCCCAACCTGGAGGCTTCGCCCAGGTCCAAGTCCATCAGACTCTGGGCAGTGGTGGTGGAGGAGGTGGCTCTTCTATGAGCACGAGGCAGGGGTAGTCACCCACCAGATCCAGGTACTAGGGGCCAGGGTATAGTACTAAAGGCCCCCGGGGGGTCCCTTCCTGACCTGCAGGACCCACCCAACTTCCAGGGAGTTTAAGTGAGGGTCCCCAGGGGGCAGGAGGGACAAAGAGCTTCACCACAGCCCTCCCTCCTGCAGCCGGCTCCTGGTATGGCCACGCTACTCCAGGGGTGGTGGCTCTCAGTTCACTCTATAGCCTGTGCGGGCAGAAGGAATGCCTGTGGGTGTCAAACACAGCTCACTCTGTGTGAGGTGCCCTCCTTGCCCTGGTGGAGAACCCCTGGTGGACCAGCAGCCCTCTCCGTGGGACAGAGAGGCAGAGCTCATGGCCTGAATCCCAACATGGCACAGAGTCCCAGCCTGGTGGTGGCTGGGGTTGGTCCTAGGAGTCAGGAGCTTTCTGGAATGTTTAGATGTATGAGGAGCTGGGCAGGGGAGTCTGAGGGGGAACAAAATGAGAGGCAGGCAAGGCCCGGGATGGAGGGCAGAGGTCTCCCTCAGAGAGGCCCAGGCCTGCTCTATCCAGAGAGAAAAATCAAGAAGTGAGTCAGAGGGAAGACCTGCTGGCCGAAGGAGCTGGCGACAGCAGCAGAGCTAGGATTCAGCTGGCCAGGGAAGCCAGGGAGGGGACACACACACTCACACACACACTCACAAGCTGTCGCGGAATTTAACAACAGAGATACTGCGGGGTGGCTGGACGGATGCGATGCCGTGGAATGTGCTGGAGAGAGACAAGACGGGACGGGGGCGCTAGGGAGCTCAGATGGCCTCCACGTAGTTGGCTGGCAGCATGCCTGTGTCGCCCGTGCGCTCCACGGTGCCGTACATCCAGCCGTCGTCAATCTGCTGCACGTTGACGATCGTGTCCCCGTCCTGGAAGGAGACTTCATCCTCGTCGGCAGCGCTGTAGTCATACACAGCGCGGTACCGCTTCTGTGGGAGGCAGTGCAGTCCGTCAGTCCAGGGCCCAGGCCTGCACTTCTCTCTATAGACACCCCGGCACCAGCAGAGCCCGTGGGGAGCCGAGCCGAGCGCTGGCCTCCAGCCCGCAGTCTACTCTGGGTCTTTCTGAGAGCTGCCCACTTTGACTAGGTATGCTTGGGGTCCTCCCAGGGCCGCAGTCAGGACAGGGACAGAGGCCTCCCGGGTCTCTCTTAGAACATTCCTGCCTTGGGGCATCTGCACCTGCTCATTACCCTGTGCCACTTACTCCAGCCTGGGCCACCAGCCAACTTTGGCTGATACTGCTGTGTCTTGACTGCTCTCTCACTGGGATGGAAGACTCAAGTGGACAGGGAAGTGGTCCCTGCTCCCAGCCCCATCCCTGAGGCTCAGGTGAGCACCCCCAGGTGCACCTGCGACTGCCATTTCTGATGACAGAGCATCAGCTCCCTCGTCTGTCCAGCTGCTTCTCTTCTGCTCCTGAAGAACTGCAGTGAGCTCCCAGGTGCGTGACACAGAGGCTCAGCTTTACCCGCAGAAGCTGGGCAGTGGGATGTGCAGATCCCACCCCTTCCCACATGTGTGCAGGCTGGCCCAAAGGAGGCGAGCCAAGAGGACATGACCTAGGCTGTGGGGAAGCTTCAGCCCTGTTGGCGGACACGTGCAAGTTAGCAGGGCACGCTTGTCAAGTGGGAAAAGGAGCGCTGAAGACAGTCAGCTCTGAGGATAGAAAACAGCAATGGGTCAAGCTGCCGCACACAACGCCAGCATCCCCGGGGGTGCTGGTTTGAGTCACTCTGTTCCGCTTTGGGTCCAGCCTGGAAAGCAGAAGATGATGGCCCACGTACTTAGGACCCTGCCACTCCAGTGGGAGACCTGGCTGGGGTTCCAGGCTCCTAGCTTCACACTGGTCCAGCCATGGCTGTTACAGGTACTTGGAGGAGAAAACCACGAGATAGAACCTCGTAACTCACTCGTGCACTTCTGCACTCTCTCTGCCTTGAAGGGAAATGGCCTGGGCAGGACAAGAGTGATTGTCCATAGCACCCCCAATCCCAGCCCGAGTCTGCCCACTCCACCATGCTTCCGGGGTCAGGAGTTCAGCTCCTGGATACAGACCATGGGGGACTGGCTCATCCCAGAGCCCCCACAGCCTCTGGGCTCCTCAGACCCACCCCCCACCTGAGGGTTCCCCACCTCCAGGGTCTCTCTTCAGGCAGGGCTCACTTACCCCACCCCCGCCTGGGGCACTTCGCTGGACAGAAACCGGGGCTGCAGGCTCCTTGTAGCCACCGTAGGACTGAGCCACCTGCTGTGGCTGGGGCTGCTGGTAGACTGGAAGGAGCAGGGTGAGACAGGGCTCAGTGACTGCTTGCTAAACCCCCTGACCTCTCAGGGCCCCCCACCGTGCCTGACCACCACTCTCAAGGTCTCTTTGCACACAGCAAGGCTCTGGGCTCCTTCACCCTGAGGGCCTGGTATCTGGGAGGCAACTGCATATGTGCACATGTGCATGCTGGTGCCCCTCCCCACCTCCTCCCCGGCCCCAAGCCGGCCTGGCCAGTCCTCTGCCTGCCACCCCCACAGGTCGCTGCTCACCAGGGGTACTGGTTGGGATGTGGTGGGGCTGCGGCTGCTGCTGCTCCGGGGGCCGCCGGTAGCTGCTGCTCTCCTGGGACTCCCGACGCTCGGGCTCCAGGCCCTCACCCCCACTGGGGCCCATACGGCTCTTCTCAAACTCCTCGTGGTATTTTATCTGTGAGGCCAGCAAGTGTTGGGTCAAAGATCTTACTACCAATCAACCAATCCCCTCTGGGTGCCACTCGAGGTCCCTGGAAGGTAAGACAGTCCCCACCCTGGGCATTCAAATCAACAGCAACTCAGCCCTGCCTGGCTTCAGTTTCCCTGTCTGTAAAATGGGACACCAGCATCTACACACACACACACACACACACACACACACACACACACACACACACACACACACACCTGTCACTGAAGAACATAAGGACCAGAGCCAAGTGCACACTGTGCAGAGTGCCCACCCTGTCCCTCAGCAACAGGAGCAAAAGCAATGGCCCCTGTTTGCTGGTGAAACCAGGGACGCCCTCAGAGGACCCTACCCAGCCTGCGAAGCCAAGAAGTGCCAGGCTCCCACATAGGCAGACCATGGCCTTGGACATGAGCCCTTCTCCAAGCCCTCATTCCTGATGAGTCCATCAGGTTGCACATCTGTACAAAGACCCAGAGGACCAGCTCTGTGCAAGTGCACCCCCACAGAGGACGGGGGCTTCAACCCCTCGATTCAGACTCCACTCTTCTGACTGCAGAAACCCCCATTTCTATCCCTGCACCCAGAAGCCTTAAGCTGGGCGTCACCTTACTTGAGGACTGGGTACCAAGACCTGAGAGTGGCTTGGGGCCGTCAGCATCAGCCCCGGCAACCAGGAGAGCATCCAAGCAGATGGCACCAACTGTGTCCTTAAAACACAGAGCTGGCCACAGCAACTATCCCCTAGACAGATGGTGACTGGTTCTGTGATGGACACATGACTCTGGCTGGGACAATCAGAGATCTGCAGCAGTGTTTTCTTGGACAGGAATCAAGAGGAAGCAGCCAGGAGAAGGCAGGTCTGGGGCTGTAGGTCGCCTCTCTTCCCTCCCCAGGGAGACAGCCTAATCAGCCGGACCACGGCTGCGCCAAGACCCCCTGACCTCCGGTTACATCCCACACGACTTCACGGACAGCGAAGTCCTGCAGCTGGATCTGCGGACTGGGGAGGGAGCCAGCCCTGGCCTGGCTAACACCCACGCTGCGAGGGTGAAAGTGAACCTCCCAACCTACTTCCTAGTCCTGTCCACTGGTGGGCGCAAGGAGCAGGGGGAGGAGCCACTGGGGTTAACTTATTCCGTATCTATTAGCTGGTGCAGCCTCTGAGCACACACCATCCCAGCCTTGCCAGTGGACCAGAGTGATGGGGAACTCGTCCAAGGTCACCCAGCCAAAGGATGAGGGAAGGGCAGGACCATGCAGCACCGTGCCAGCGCCTTCTCCCATCCCACAGGGTTCATCTTAGCCCGTCTTCCCGAGGACCCTGGCCTGGGCTCGCAGTGTAAATCCACAGCCTCGCACCCTCTGCACGGAGGACTGGGTTCCAGGAAGTAGGTCCTGGAGGGTGGGGCAGGCAACTGTTGAGCTCCCAGGGCCTCCCCAGGGCAGTTCCTCCCAGGGTGTGGAACTGAAAAGGCTTCCCAATGCCGATGCACCTGCCGATTACGCTGCAGCCTGGTTCCAAGGCTTTCTGTGGCTTCTACAGTCAGGGCTGTGCTTCTAGAATATGCATTCCATATGCCTTCACTCTCTCTGAAGGGCAGAGAAACAGAAAGAGCACTCCCAGCTGTTGGCCCACTCTCCACTCCTCACGACAGCCAAGGCTGCACCAGACCAAAGCCAGGATCCTGGAACTCAGTCTGGATCTTATGTTTGTGGCAAGAATTTTGAGTTACCGAGCCCGGCATGATAGCCTAGCAGCTAAAGTCCTCACTTCACACGCGCTGGGATCACATATGGGTGCCGGTCCTAATCCCGGAGTCCTGCTTCCAAAAGCTTTGGGACTCTGCACACGCATGGGAGACCCGGAAGAAGTTCCTGGCTCCTGGCATCAGATTGGCTCAGCTCCGGTCACTGCAGTCATTTGGGGAGAGAACCAATGGACGAAAAAATCTTCCTCTCTGTCTCTCCTCCTCACTGTATATCTGATTGTCCAATACAAATAAATCTTTTAAAAAAATAAAATAAAAATGAACAAAGAATTTGAGTTATCACCTGCTGTTATTAAACCTCTACAGGAAGTTGGGTCAGAAATTCAGCCAGTGGGTCTGCACTGCAGCGAAGTAAGCAAAGTAGCTGCCTGCAAAGCCAGCATCCCATATGGGCACGACTCCAAGGCTGGCTGTTCACCTGCAATGCATGCTTGCAGGCCTGAGAAAGTAGCATCAAGTGCATGGGCCCCTGCACCTCTGTGGGAATGCAAATGGAGCTCCTGCCTTCAGCCTGGCCCGGTGCCAGCTATTGCAGTCACATGGAGAATGAACCAGCGGGATGGAAAATCTCTCTTTCCTTCCATCTATACAGAACCTTGCCTTTCAAATAAGTAATAATTCTTTTTTTTTTCAAGATTCATTTTATTCTTATTAGAAAGTTAGATACACAGAGAGGAGGAGAAACAGAGAGGAAGATCTTCCGTCTGCTGTTGATTCACTGCCCAAGTGGCCCCAGTGGCCACACCCGAGCCAATCCGAAGCCAGGAGCCCAGACATTCTTCCACCACTTCCCATGTGGGTGCAAGGCCACAAGGCCATCCTCGACTACTTTCCCAGGACACAAGGATGGGAAGTGGGGCAGCCAGGATTAGAACCAGTGTATGCAAGGTGAGGACTTTAGCCACTAGGCTACCATGCCAGGACTGTAAATAATTCTTTAAAAATAAAAATAAAGAAATTGAGAGCCCAGCACCATGGCCTAGCGACTAAAGTCTTCGCCTTGAACATGTCGGGATCCCATATGGGCACGGGTTCTAATCCCAGCAGCTCCACTTCCCATCCAGCTCCCTGCTTGTGGCCTGGGAAAGCAGTCGAGGACAGCCCAAAGCCTTGGGACCCTGCACCCCCATGGGAGACCCAGAAGACCTCCTGGCTTCTAGCTTCAGATCGGTGTGGCTCCAACCATTGCAGTCACTTTGGGAGTGAATCACTGGGCGGCAAATCTTCCTCTCTGTCTCTGTTCCTCTCTGTATATCTGACTTTGCAATAAAAATAAATAAATCTAAAAAAGAAAGAAAGAAAAGAAAGGAAGGAAGGAAGGAAGGAAGGAAGGAAGGAAGGAAGGAAGGAAGGAAGGAAGGAAGAAATTGAACCAAGACTCACACCAGGAGGCATCCTAACATGGGATTCTGGAATCCCAAGCAGCAACTGACCCCCTGTGCCAAATGCCTTCTCCTGATCATACGCCTTTTAGAGGCTCCCCTAGGAAGCATGGTGCTAGTCCACAGCAGGGCTGGAGCAGAGGCTGCGAGCTCTGGGCCGTGGGCCAAATCTAGCTTCCTAACTGTCTGCTTACTCCCAGGAACTAAGAACGCGTCCACATTTTCAAATCCTTGAGTGTGAGAGGTCCCCATGGAGCACAGCATCTCATGGCAAAGAAGAGTTGTTTAAAATGCACATTTGAGTCTCCAGAAATAAAGTTGACTGGCACACATACGCTAAGCCCATGCATGGCTGCTTGCAGATATGACAATGGAGCCCAGGAGCCACGCTAGAGACGTCAGGCTGCAAGCCACCTGTGCCTCTCATCTGGCCTTTGCAGGAAGCTCACCGAGCCCCTGCTTGCCAGAACAGTTTAGCTGCAGAGTTCTCTGGCTTCGACACTCTTTTGGCACCAGTCTGGGCATCTGGCGCAGTGGCGATGCCACTCTTTCGGATGCCGAGTGTGTGGGCTGCAGCCCTGGCCCTGCTCTCCACTCCTGCCTCCTGCTAATGTGCACGCTAGGAGGAGCAGGCCATACTGGCTGGAGCCCTGGACTGCTGCAGGTGTTCGGGGACTGAAACTGCTCAGCTCTGCCTGCCTGCCTGTCTTTCAAACAAATAAAAACAATTATTTATTTATTTTAAGATTGAAAAGACAGGGCCCGGTATGGTAGCCTAGTGGCTAAAGTCCTCATCCTGCATGTGCTAGGAATCCATATGGATACTGGTTCTAGTCCTGGCTATTCCAATTTCTTCCAGCTCCTTGTTTGTGGCCTGGGAAAGCAGTAGAGGATGTTCCAAAGCCTTGAGACCTTGTTCCAGCATGGGAGACCCGGAAGAAGCTCCTGGCTCCTGGCTTTGGATCAGCTCAGTTCTGGCTGCTCCTACCATTTTCGCCACTTGGGGAATAAACTAGTGAACTCTCCTCTCTTTCCAATAAAAAAAATAAAATATTTTAAAATATATATTTTTTTAAAAATATATAAAACTAAAGTATCACTTTACAAAACCAAAAGGACATTAACAACCTTGTACACAAAATAGTAATTTAGGACCCAGCACCGCAGCTTAGCAGTTGAAGTTCTCGTCTTGCACGCACCACGATCCCATATGGGTGCCAGTTCTAATCCCAGCAGCCCCACTTCCCATCCAGCTCCCTGCTTGTGTTGTAGGAAAACAATTGAGGACGGCCCAAAGCCTTGAGTCCCTGCACCACCACCACCACCACCCCCCTCCCGAGACCGGAAGAGGCTCTGAGCTCCTGGTTTCAGATTGGCTCAGCTTCAGCCGTTGCAGCCGTTTGGGTAGTGAATCATTGGACAGAAGATCTTCCTCTCTGTCTCTGCTTCTGTCTGTGTATCTGACTTTCTGATAAAACAAAACAAAAAAACAGTAATTTAAAAAGTCTGAGATGGGGGCCTGGCATGAGATTTATTTGGCTAAATCCTCCCCCCTGCAAGTGCTGAGATCCCTTATAGGCATCAGTTTGTGTCCCGGGTGCTCTTCCCAACGAGCTCCCTGCTTGTTGGCCTGGAAAGGCACCAGAGGATGGCTAAAGTCTTTGGGATCCTGCACCCCCATGGGAGATCCAGAAGCAGCAGCTGGCTCCTGGCTTCAGATCAGTTCAGCTCTGGCCATTGGAGCCATTTAGAGTGAACCAGTGGATGGAAGATCTTTTTCTGTCTCTCCTTCTCTTTGTAAATTTGCATTCGCAATAAAAATAAATAAATC